ATAATATATATGACACACCGAAAAGAACTAATTTCAATTTGGTTGAATACTTGTGTATTCACTAGATTCAAGACGAGGATGATTAATAGTGATCTAATTTTGTTTTTAATTGACTCTTACTTACCTTATGTACATTAAAAAGGACATACCTTGCTTTAGTTATTGATTGCAGAATAATTAAGTTGTCTGCATGTGTTGCAGTAAATCCCCTATGTTTGTTTCGGTATAATAAAACAGTTATGGAATGTGAACTCGAGAAATAGCAAATTAATGCTTCCCCTCTGCAGGAAACTATTTCTCTCGGCTGCTTCGCCGCCTCGGGAAATAGTTTCCTCCCTCAGGGAATCATAAATTTGCTATTTCCCTCGTACCCATTCCATAACTGTATAATATAACACAACAGTTGGATTCACCAGTCAAGTCTCAACGAACAAATGTACCCTTTATAAATGTAATGAAATTTATACCCATAAATTACTGCACAGTGTAGATACGATTCAAAATATTTCATATCTAATTATATTCAAATGCAATATTCTCAATCAGCAATGATCTGATTAAAAAATTAGTTGACCTACTTGTTCCGCAATTCAACGATAAGACCATATAATATTCAGCATATACGTAATTACTATTTTGTTATATTAGAAAAATAAAATTATTTATGTATTTTTTTCAAAATGTAATCCAAATTTTATTTCGATTTCGTTTTAATACATAAAACATTTTTTCTTGCATTATCATTTGAGTAAATGATCCATTTGTTATAAATATATTCAACGATTTCTTGATGGTTAAAACGTAACAAAGGGGAGCAATCAAAAGTTGAACCCGCTTTTGATTGGTTAGTTTTGATCTTGAATTTCGAAACTCGAATTTTGAATCTCGAATTTCGAATCTCGTATTTCTAAACTTGAATCTCGAATGAGCCTTCTGGGCTTTCGTAAGTACACGATGAAATAAATATCAATGTAACGTTGTTTAAAATATTATAATAGCAAAAATTAATTAACCCACAAGATGATAAGTAAAAATGAAATGTTGCATGCATTTTTTTTAAAATACATTTTTTATTTGAAAATGTAAAAACACAGGAAAAAACAATTCAGTTAAAAAGCTGCTTTCAGTGAAGTTCAGTGGCCATTCAGCCACTGAATGGCATACATATCAGGTACATGTACCTCTCAGTTGCCTTTTAGTCACATTTCAAGTACCTTACAGCCACCATTCAGCGGACATTCCCGTTGACTTTCAGTAACCTTTACTTCGTTTTTCAGTGAAATTTTAGCCTAAATTAACCATTTTTTTAATCACAGGTTGTTAGATTATTCCCATACATTTTCCTTTACAATATTATTAATGAATTTTTTTTATCAAATCTTAACTGCGTTTTTTTTTTTTCTTAACGTGATAACCATAAACTGGTAATCGCAGTTCGAGGTTCAATTGTCTGTAAATTGTTTGCTGAATTGTTAAACTTTGATCATAAACTTAATTTACTTTCTATTACTCTCTAAATCGGTGATAAATATTCAATTTAAAATGATATTAAGTACTATTCCACGTAAGAATCAGGCATGGGGGGCACATGAGGTGTCTCAGATTTTTTTTAAACTTTGCATGCTGGTAGAGTATACTTAGTGACTTCCTAAAATAAATTTATTTTTTATCAAATCAGCGTCTGGTTTCCATGGCAACAGAAATACTCTTTTCGGCCTATCATGACTGAAATTCCCTTAAAAAATATGCAAAATTGCCAATTTTCAAGTTTGAATTAAAACAAGATAGGAAAAGGTATCACAATTACGTTTATTTCTCATTAAAATACAGCTCAACTAGTAACTATTCATAAATAATTATAATATAATTATGTCCAGTAAGGTGTTCTAATTTTAGACAGAAAAGGGGAGATAATGCTTAAATGCAAAAACATGAAAATATTGATTTTAAGGTGATTTTCGGCTATTAAAAAATATAAAAACCCAACACCCAAATCAAAAGATTATGTTTTTTCCAAAAACACCATACCCTGTGGCTTACAAAAGTATAAAAACATTTTTGTGCAAATTATATTAAATATCCGAAAATTATAGATGATTTTCATACAAAAAAGAGAAATTTCACTATTTTTGTCAAAGTCCAGTATATGCCATAGATATATACATCTGAAATTAATATTACATTTCTAAACAATTTCTAATTATTTTCAACTCAAAATACAACAACACAAGTGCCTTTTTGCAATTTAACAAAACATTTCCATGAACAGTGAAACTTTCTAATTTTGAACTGAAAGGGGGAGATAATCCAAAATATGCAAAATCATGAAAATATCAATTTTAGGAGATTTTCAGCTATCAAAAAAAAAAAAAAAAAAACACTCAACTTAAAAGACTGTACTAATTCCACAGACATCATACCCTGAAGCTTATAAAAATATAAAAACATTTTTGCGCAAATTATCATGAACATCTGAAAATTATGGATGAGTTTCGAACAAAAAAGAAAAATTTTTAATACTATTTTTGTCGAAGTCCATATGCCATAGAAATACAGGGTATACAACTGAAATGAATACAAATCTAAAAAAATTTCTTTTTATTTTAACTAAAAATACAACAACACAGGTATCTTTTTCAAAAATAAATATTGTCATACTCATGCCCTGTAAAATCTCTCTAATTTTATACTGGCAAAGGGGAGATAATCCAAATATGCAAAAAACAAAAATATAGATTTTAGAGGATTTTCACTTTTTCAAAAATATAAAAATCAAACAGCCAACAGAAAAAGCTGCATTTTTTCAAAAGACATCATACTCTATGGTATATGAAATTAAAACATTTTTGTGTAAATTATTGCATGTATTAATATTGGGGGTGAGTTGGGGGGATGATTTCTAACAAAAATGAGCGATTTTACTTTTCTCTGTCAACGTCCAGTATACGCCATAGATGCCTGCATGTAAAATGAATTTTACAGTTTAAAACAATTGTTTTAAATTTTCCAGTTCAAATACAACACAATTCTATGCTTTTTTTTTTCCAGTAAATCAATGTAATAATTTTTATGTCTGCCCACTAAGATGCTCTAGTTTAACTGAAAAAGGGAGATAATCCAAAAGTGCTAAAACCTGAAAATATTAAATATCTGAGGCTGTTTTTGAGGTCAGAGAATATTGTATTCTTCAATTAGAAAAATCATTAAAGTGACTAAGAAAATCTTCCTAAATTGTATAATATACAACATGATTTTTATTTACAAACTGATATATATTTTATGTTGTCCTTTTTGTACATGTAATACATTTCAATCATAACTAGTACATGTAAATATATTCATGATCTGAGTGACATTTTTCACACATCACACATGTTTGCCATTCAGGTTGATCATATATTCAAATGACTTTCAAAAAATTTCAACAAAGTTGAATTCATGAAAAATAAATCTTTTCATTAAAACCTCACTACTGGGAAATATGTAAAACAGAATATCAGAATTTAACACAGTTTTTCTTTTGAAATCAACACCTACCATTTGTTTAGTAGCAGGGATGGGGTCAATTACATTGGAAAGTAATTAATTAAATTACAATTACTTTCCCAAAACCTTCAATAAATTACCATTACCATTACATGGATTTTGAAATGTAATTAATTAAATTACAATTACTTTGCAAATGTAATTAATTAAATTACTAATTACATTCAAGAATACACGTATAAAAGTAAATAGTCATGTATATTCCTTTACATTTATAACAGATTATTTTACAACATTTTTTACAATAATATTATTAAAAGCTTTATACATTTTTTTTCAAATACTGTGTCCCCAAACCTAATATATCTTTGATTAATTTGAAGATTTTCCTGCCATGCTGTGGATAATCCCTTCCACTGGGGTATTTGTGAGAAAATGCATACATGTAGATACTGACTAGTAGAAAGTTTACAGACGATTTAACCTTAATTCATGTGTTTAAATTTTGGTTTTATTCAATCTTTTCCATAAACAAGTAATAAATTTATGCTAAATGTACTTTTGATGCTTTATTCTGCCTTTATATTTCCTTATTTCAGCATCATAGGTTTACTACAAAATGTGGGTATTTGACTTATTCTGTGCCAAACTACAAATTAAAGTCAAGGAGTATGTATAATACATCAACAGACAAAGTCAAAGGTGTGAAAAATGTTTATTTAAGAATTAGTATATGACCCCAAGACACTAATTAGCACCTGTTAATAACTTCCAACACAAGCTAAAGATATGGCCAACAAAAGGATTAGAAGCCATTGGACTCTTATTTTCCGCTGCATTTCATTTCCGGAAATATGCATAGCATATTATTTGTGATTTATCCCTTTAAATTTTTCATAAGTAAAGTTATCAAATCTGGTACTATAGGTTCTACATATGTATTTGAAAAATGTCGGAAATGAAAACAAAAAAATGTCGGAAATGAAAACGAAAAAATGTCGGAAATGAAAAGTTGATAATTACCAAAAATTCCGGAAATGAAATGCAGCCTTAATTTCATATGGAAAATTAATTAAAAGATCAAAATTTGAATTTTATTTGTAAACTTTACAAAGATAAATTTGATTTTTATTTTTTTTAAATGAAAAGGGGCATTGTATTTGAACAACAAATGAAATAAAAAGGTAAGTTCTTTTCAAGAAATTTTACTATTAAAATTTTTGGCCCCAAATATAAATTATTAACCTTTCATAGATAATGTTTATGAAATTGAGGGAGAGGAGACTGGTATTTTTCATTTATTTAAAACCAGTGTAATTGAATGTAATTGAAAAGTAATTGTGAATTACATGCCTTTTTGTAAAGTAATTAATTAAATTACCATTACTTGTAATTGAAAATTTGGTCAATAAAACATTACTTTCAATTACATCGAAAATTGTAATTAATTACAGTCAATTACCATTACACATTACCATTACCCCATCCCTGTTTAGTAGTCTCTAATAGTCTTATACCGAGACATAAAACTGTAATCTTTAGTGCTTATAAATGCATGGAAGTCGAAGATGAAAGTCACTGCCTGATAAATTTTATCCTAAGTGTTGAACTGGTCTTCTGAACTCCAGTCTTTGTTTATTTGATGATGTCATTTCCAGAGATTTCTGAAATAATAAGGTTATCAATTATCATAAAACAATTGAAATTTATTGTATAAAAGGTTTATCAAAATTGAAGTTTATGAGTCAGTATTGAGTATTCATTTATTATGGGACTAATATTTATCTTGCAATTGCTTTATTACATTTGAATAAGTTATATAAGAATAATGAAATTTTATTTTAAATAGAAATTATGAAACGTGTACAATTTATTGGGTCACAACAAATATACATTCAAACAAACATGTAAGTGGACCTGCATGACCAAGTCAAAGACTCAAAGTCATGGCAAAAAACATGATAAAAAATATTTACCGTTATGCTCTCAACAAAATGAAATTATGAATCTGCAAATTAACTTTCATAAAAATATCATGAATATTTTCTGTGAAACTGGGCTAAACACAAATCACAAATCTAAGGAATGTGATTGTGAAGTCAAGGTCAATGTTGATGCAGTTGAATGGCTTCTTAATGTACAAATGCCACATGTAGTTGTACTGTTTGTGTAAATTTTCATACAAAACAGAGAATATTATTTTTAGCATCTTTGATGTAGGCAATCGATGCCATAAATGACAAACACAGTTCACTGACATTGCACCATTGTTTTTTTTTTTTTTTTTGATTTTTTGATATGTTCTGCTTTTTTTTGGGGGGGGGGGGGGGGGGGGGGGAGAAAAAAAAAAACAAACTCAGAAATAATTTTAAATGTCAATTGTGTGTGCATGTCAGTGTTAGAAGGTGAGGGGTTGAAATATTCTTCTTCTAATCTCAAATTGTCCACTCAAATACATGTACTACATTTCTCCAACTGTACAACATGGGTGTGTGTCACTATGTATGGGATGGGGGAGGGGGCTGGACTTTAAATAAACATTTCATTTATATGTAGTAAAAACAAAGGGGGGCCCCCATCAATACTAAGTCAGTAAGTTCCTGCAGTTAATAAATCACATAAATGAATACAGTGCAAAGTGCAAACATGTGTTGCTTAATTTTAAATACATCAATTTAAGCATACATGCATATCTCTACATACGACACAGACTGATCCTTACCATTGAAATGTTTCGTCATCTTCCAGTTCAAGACTGTGAGATAAAACTCTACTGTTTCAGTCACTTGGCATTACATTGCTTGCATATGCCTGGAATTTTTAAGAAATTAAATAAAAAAAAATATGTTCCTTTTAACATGTCTATAAAATCATATAATTATGCTACTTCACTTTTTTTTTAATATAGAAGTGAACACAATAATGTCTTAATGGACTGCATCATCAAATACTTGAAGAAATTACCCTCAAACACCTTTAATCTGGCCAGATTTTACAACAATTGTATATTACAGAACATACATATGTAGGTATCAGGTCCGTTTGCATCATCTACCTGTTCGCGCGAGTCGGTTTGTGCAGGGTTTGTTCTTGTTCGTCCTTATGTCCTGTTCGCCATAGATCCTGATCGCTCTATTGTAAATATTTACTCAAGTCATTATCTCTGGATTTCTAAGCATTTTTGTTTTTTAAAAGATAATCTAGTTTTTTTTCCATCTGTACTTATTGACTTTATTTCTGATTTTAATATTATTTAAAGACTGATTTGGTTAAATTGCTGTTAATTTTGTTATTACTGTAAGAGAAATTCTTCTTTGTTAGTTTTTAAGGGTTCATATTAGCATGTATGTTTTGAAAATAATTAAGGAAATTGAGAGTGACGTTAACCATGAAACCGTTGAGCATGTTGACAATACATATAGTTTTAAGAATCTTTTATTTCTCATTTAATATTAAATGTACCTTGGACTAGTAGCCATCCCCTCAGTATAACTCATCCCCCCAAGTAGGACTACCCGTTCATCTCATTCCCTCACCTTTCGGCAAATACAAACTACAAAAAATGTGTATAAATATTCCTTTTTCCCTCTTACTATAGTTCAGTGGAACAGACTGCCGGGCAGTATTGTCTCGCTTCCAGATGTTGAACATTTCAAACTGGAAGTGAGCAAACTAAATCACCCAAGACCATAATCATATGATAGTGTTTTTATATCTTTTTAACTGTGAATACTGTTTTTCTTAACTTTTTATCTTCACTAAAAATTTAATACTGTTCCCTTTTCATCACTTTGAAATTTACTTTTCTTCACTTTTTTACATCTTTTAATTAGCTGCGCACCCTACTCAGAGTACTAAAAATTTGAGGGCGAGTAGTACCGAGAGATAGATAGATAGATACCTTACTGAACATAAATTAAAAATAATGTTTATCACATCGATTACTAAAAATATTTTTTTTTAATTCTGAAAATAAATTATAATTTAAACCAAAATTCAAAAAAATCAAAGGAAATTATGAGTATAGATAGTTTTCGATAGGCCTGAATTTAGCGAAAGTTACCTCCCGTTGGCCGCCATATTGGAGGTCGACTCAGTGATTTTTCCTCTTTGTCTTACCAAGTTTAAGAAAATATAGCAGAAATATTTGGTGGAAAATCTTTACCAAATAATTTTTTTGAAATAAAGGAGGCTTCCAAAAATTTACATACTTCAGAAAAATAATAATTTGTAATTCAAAATAGCAAATATAAAAATTTTAAATTGGTTGAACAATGAAGGAATATGAGCGTTTGGACCTCCAGTATGGCGGCCAACGGGAAGTAACTCTTGGTCAATCGAAAACTATCTATTGTCCAATTAACATATGCGCAAATGGAGCAAGTGTTAAATTTTTTTTTTTAGAGTGAGCAGACTCAAGGCGAACCACAATAAGAGCGAACGGCATCAAGGGCGAATGTATACATGTACTATGCTTATGTTTCAAATCCAAATGAACTGGTCAGCCCCCCCCCCCCCCAATATACTTTTAAATAACTGTTTAAAGTGTAATCAATAATCATTTTTTTAAAAAAGTCAATTTTGTCTAAAAATTAATCTAACCTCTTTCAAAACTACATTGCTCTCACCTTCCAAGTTGAGTAAGTGCCTAAGCGGTGTGGACGGTCTCTCCGTGGGCTTACTTTTGCATTCAGCTGGAGGGCCTTGTAGTTGAACT